GTATACTACTATACATTAACATCTTTACATACGTAAACCTACAAAAATATTTGAGTGCACTGGTGTACTGTACCCACAAAAAAATTTGGGTGCACAGCTCCAAATTTGGGTGCACTAAGGTGTACATGCACCCAGTATTTCGAGTCCCTGGTAATGTACACTGTGAATTTCATTTTGAAGCAAAAAATGCTGAGAACCTCCCAATCCCCATTGCAGTTTATGGCTGTTAAACAAAGACCTGAATGCTGTATACCTTGAGGTTGTCCATGATGGTTGTGTCTGACATGAACGGTACCACGTGCCTCAGCAGCACCATGGCTCCAATAGTCCTTGAAGGACGGACCTGTTTAAGGGGGCACACCCCAGTTTATTTGGCGTCTCTATTCGAAGCTGCACACCCTCAAATCTAGCGACCGTGTCTGGCGTGGAATAATTCGGAAGGAGAATAACTGTATATGGGACGAAAGGATATCTCTTCAGCTACAAGACCAGCTGAGTTTGGTTTCTTCAACCTTTTTAATTTTGGTAAAATCAACGGAAAAAACATTATTTTCACTCCAAAATTAATGCCCAAAATTGCGAATTTTCGCGTAGGATAATCCCATAGAAAAAAAATTTTCCGGCAAAAATGACTGATGCTGGCAGAAAGACCCAAGCCTTGACTATACCCGAGTAAATTATAAAGAAAATTCTAGTACTGTAATTTTTTTAATCGTCCACGGCGCGAGGGGTTGCAAATCCGCTACTAGGAAGGCGCAGAGCGAAATCTAGGTCAAACGGGCGGATTACACTTGGCGCGCAAGGATACCCGGAAGTAAGTTTCGGAGCCAAAAGAATTTTTCACCCCAAAATCACCATTCCTTACACTCTTCAGCCATGTTAATGTTTAATGATACTTCGTGCCAGTTTATGAGAAATGTCACATCAAACTTGGGCCCTCAAAACCCCTTCGTCACTTTTTTTCAACGGACTATCGTGGACCCCTGTCGCGGAAGAACTGGGGTGTGCACCGCTTACTGTTCAGCCGACTGCGTCCAGATGACACCTATGTGCACAAGGCCTTTGTTTAGTCAAATTCAACATTAGCAGTTATGATAGTGTTAGATAACGCTTTCCATAAATTTATCAGATTCTAAGATTTGTAACTGGCAGGAAAATAGTAAAAACTGTCCAAAAGGAATGGGGCTATCAGAAAAAATTTTGATGACTCTTGTGTGGAGTACTCACCATGAATGTGATGTGTGGGATGTACTGGGATGTGTGGAGTACTCACCATGAATGTGATGTGTGGGATGTACTGGGACGTGTGGAGTACTCACCATGAAGGTGATGTGTGGGATGTACTGGGAGGTGATGACTGACTCTCCATACATCACCACTATGTCTGTCAGGCACTTAAGCACCAGCCGCGAGTGGCGGTCTCCAACTACAGTTCTGCTGGACACTGTGGCTTGTTCTGGATGGGCAACATGTGTCAAATTCACAATACAAACTTCACACATTCAATTCAACAGACAACAACTTATCATACAAATCTCTTTGGTCTGAATGTAAAAACGGAAATTTCAGACTTCTAGGAAGGATTTGGGGTTTTTGTGACCTTCAAGTTCACCCCATCTCCTGTGTCTGACCTGCCATTCTTACTGTGAACCTTCCCTGTAATGGCACACCCAAAGATCCGACTAGACTAAAGCTTACAGTACAAACAAAAAAAACTGACCCCCTTCCTCCTCCACCAGACACTGTTGTTCAGGTCCCTGGTAACAATTGTTCAACAGCTTCAGCAGGTTCTTTGCCAGGTAGCGACCAGTCAGGGCCGGTCCCAGCCGGTCTGCCAGCCACATGATGCTGTCTGCTGCGACGTCAGCCACTGTTAAACCTGCAGACGACAAATTGTTTCTTCACAGAAATACAAAAACATTGTAACTTTAACTTGTAATGAAATTGTGGATGAGTAGGAGTACAGCTGAGCTGCAAGACACAATATCAGATGACACAAAAAAAAGTTGACTAACCTTCTTCAAACTCCTCCAGGATGCTCGAATTTAGATCCACATCTTGCCTGCCACTTTCAGTAGATGTAACCATGCTGCTGTAGACAGCGTCCCTGCCATCTGTCCCACTCTGTCCTGTCTCATCCCCCGGATCCTCTGCCTCACTACTCCTCTGTTCTTCTTCATCATCATCATCCTCACTGCCCTGTCCATTGTTCACCACAAGTCTGGACACACTGTGGACCGAAGCCCCACCCGGGCTCCCGATAGGAAAGCTCTCTTTACTTGTGCCTTGCTCTGCTCCATGCAAAGATGACTCGGCCATCTCTAAATTCGTTGTCGTCGGCACTGATCTAGCAAAGTCTTGCAGGGAGTCTTCATCAGTTCCACAATCCACGAAGGAAATTCTTTCCGACGTGGAATCTTCTGTCTCCTCGTCATCTCTGTCTACGTCACTGCTGGTGCCGTCCAATAGGATGTCTCCTGAAAATGTGGAGCCCTCTTCGTTGAGTGACTGGCTGTCACCTTCGCTTATGACTCTTTCTGTATTTTGCCGATATCTCTCTAGGGAAAAGCTATTATCCGTAGTGTCTGTGCAAGACCTGCTTGTAACGTTGCCAAAGGACATCCCAGTCTCTGTGACGATGTTGTCAAACACCAGAGGGTCTCCCTGGTCTTCTTCCTCGTACGACGGCTGAAGCGCGTCCATGCCCAGGTCCACATCCTCGTCGTTGACCTCTGGAGGCGAGAGTCGGCCAATAGCGTGCAGCTCTACCAACGGATCTCTGAGATCGGCCGTGGCTTCAACGATCAGTCCAACGATCTGTCCTAGAAACGTCTGGAGACCAAATCTAACTAGTAGCTGTAGCAGGAATGGCCGGTGGAAAAGTTTGACATAACTCAAGGAGACGTTCCCGTGGTCCATGAGATTCGTTAACGGCCTAAGAAGCTTGCGGCTTGTCATGGCCGGTCCTAAATACTGTGCAAAAATATCGAAGATACAAATGGTGGCTTCTGCGCCTGATTTAGGGCTTTCAAGTAAGGACACCACGTAAGGCAGCAGTAGGTCTAAACCTTCATGGTTCAGTTCAGGTAGGAGATCTGGAAGCCACTTGGTGACGAGACGGACCTGTTCAGTAGACCTTTCCTGTTGAACATGTTGAGACAGATACTGGTGCAGTTTGGGAAAGTATGGAGGGAATGGGAAGGGACTGGTGTGGGGGTTGAGCAGGGAGCCCAGCGTGGCAGTTGGCAGGCCAGCTGAAGTGGTCGTGTCACCGGCACACAAGTCATCTACTACTGAAGATGGCTGCTCCTTCAAGTCCAGCTGAAGGATCGTCTCCACCGCTTCTTGAATAGGCCTGATGGGCAGTAAGACAGCATTACTTTGGTGACAGCATGACAGGGAACAGCTTAAAGATGGGGAGCTGCTGTCCTCCATTTGTACTTAACTTGTCCAATCAACCTCTTCTAAATACTTTTGAAAAAGACTTTTCTTAAATATTGTTTTCAGACAGAAAAAAATGTGCACATTCCACCTAGCAGATTGCGATGTCACTTCAAAAATACACCAAAAATGACAACAAAAGAGAGTCTCGTACCGAGGTAACTCTAGAACATGTCTCTTGATATTGTTGACTCTCTCCTGTAGGGTGGCCTGAGGGCTGAGCACCCCCAGCCTGCTGCCCAACATGAGTTCTGCCACCAGACAGCCCACAGCTGTGATGTCCTGACTCAGGAGATGCGTTGTTTCATCTTCCCCCTCACCTGCCACGGACGTGTCACTGCTCTTCACCTGATGGACAGACAAGACAGTCACCTTCCAACTTACGCTGGTTTTATTTTTGTGGTCTTTGCGTTGACCTCTTCACTGTGACACAGTGAATATGAATTACTTGTATTACTATAATAATTGTACTACAGAATTATCTCAACTTTAAAATTCAAAACAATGCAAAAATATCATTTTTCCACCTACTGCAAAATAAAACTACTGCAAAAGTAAAGGTATATATACTAGTTTGGTACTCCCTCTACTGTTATGGCCACTTTATGCACCTGAAGTTGTTGTGTCCTTCTGGTTCTTTGCTATCAACCCCAATGAGTTTCAGCCTTAGTCAAGAAAACATGATTTGTTGCTGATGTGCAATGGAAAACAGAAAATTAACACAATCAACTATCAAAAGTAATGATTGTATGTATTCCCCTGCATGAAAGCTGATCAGTATGATTTCAGACTTACCTGCCCGACATGTTGAGCTCCCCTGGCCATGAACTTGAGTTCACTCTCCACCTGGATGAGAGCGGCCAGTGGGTTGAACCCCTCGGGTAGCCTGATGGGGGACTCCTCCGGTCTGGTCTCAGACTTGGTTCTCTCAGTTTCTGTTCTAGTTCTGAACACGAGGTATGGACCATGAGTCTCACTGGTTTGAACGCTGACAAGGATCTAAGACAGCTTTTTCTGTAAGAAGACAGCTGATCTTTGTATGACACATGCACAACCATCCCAAGAATATACTTTTGACGAATATCTTTAAACAATATACATGTACACAACAAAAATTAGCTACTTTGGGGAGCTTTCGAGACGCACTCTGTCACTTCATCATCCCAAGAATACCTTTAGTTTGTGATCATACAACGGTTGGACAACAAATGTGACTGGACAGTTACTAAACACTGAGTTTCATCCACTCTCACTACTAAAATAGATATGCCTACATCATGAGCATGAAACAGGAAGAGCATGGTATGTTGTACATCACCTGCTGAAGAAAGGTCTCCCCCTCCCACTCTTCTTGTCTTTCTCCAGAGCACCAGGCTCCTCAGTTCCAGGACTTCCAGTTTTCTCCATGGTCTCACCAAACACCTGAATCAGGCATGATGCATCAGAAATCAGTTGAAATTCAATGAGGGATGTCATCCATAAAATTTGATGGAAATGCACATCACATATTTAGTTTAGTTACGGTACTGAAGAAAAACTCTTTTGACAGAGTTGTTGACAAGGATTATCTGTGCAACCAGATACAATATGGACTCATGACCTGTAATGCTGACTTCAACGCCACGTAGCCATCTGTTTGTTTGTCTGCCTCTTGGTTGCCATAGAAACCATCTCCGGGTAGTGCTGTAGCGTCAGTGTCGGGGTAAAACACGTCTGGTTCTACGACTTCAAACCTCCCGCTCTCCGCCAAACTGTCTCCATCTTCTTCCATCACCATCTGTCAACAACAAACCACATCTATGACTCAATTATAAATCAGAAAACAGTACTGTTGCTTTAATTCTGATAGGAACAAGGCCAATGTCAGGCCTAGGAAAAAATGTTGTGTTTCCATTTACCCAACAAACCCTAGCCATTTTTGGGGGGGCATGGCCATGTATTGTGAACTGGACATGCTTTCAATAAGCAAATGTGCACACCATGCAGGCGACAAAGTAGAACAATTCATAGTGAAACGAAAACATAAAAGGTAAAACGTAAAAGATCTATTAGATCAAGACATTTTAAGACATGTAGTCAGTGACATGCATACCTTTGCCTGTTCCACTTCCGTGCTTCTGCCGTTTGCGCCGCCCAGCTGCAGTACCGGTGGCGGCTCCCAGGTGAAGGAGTTGGCGCCACACTTCCTGAGCGGGTGAGGCGTGTGGAACAGCTGCACCATGCCGTGGTTCACCGGTCGCGTGTGGTTATCCACCAGGTGGAAGCACACGTTCTTGGCCTTCACTGCATCTTTACCGGACAGCTGGTTTATAAAAACATGGACGGTCAACTCTCTGTGGCACAACTACACCTAGAACCAAGCAACTGAAGATTTCAGACTCGAGTTCTTCTGGGAATCATTTTGATTTTTTTTACCTTCAAGTTCAGAGACCTCATTTGTATGATGTAATTTATTACACCACTTTCTCATATCACCCACTTACTCTCACCTGTCAAAATCACTTCCTGCACACCATGCAATGGACCTATTGGGACACACTGACAAACTCATAAACGCAGCACTCCAAAACAATACTGACCTTTTGTGGTCTGTGGCTAGGGAATTTCCCCCACACCCACATGTTGTTACTCAACCGTATGCACACACATACAAGCAAACAGTCAACACCCAAAACAATACCTCTGTACCTGTGGGTAACAATTTACTAACAAACAGTACTGATGCCCCACCTTGTACCCAAAGGTGAGGTCTATCCAATGGTGGATCCTCTGTGAGATGAAGTCACTCTCCAGTGCTGCACGGTGCTTCTCTACAAAGTCCAGTGGTGAGCTGCACCAGGATGGAACCTGTGTGGAAAATGGTAGTTAGTGGTCAGTGAAGTGGAGGTGGAAAGGGAGGGATGCATATTGAAGTTTTAGATCAACACAGCAAAGACAGCTCACCTCAAATTTTCAGTTGCTCTTCTGTCAAACTTCTTCAGGAGTAATGATTCAATTACTCTGAGCACATGAATATCTTAAGGAAAACTAAAAGATAATGTTGAAAAGCAGGGAAGCATCAAATTATATGCATTTTTCCATCACCTCTAAGTCAGGCAGGTCTGCGTGGAGAGACTGAAAGATGGTCGGATCAGAGAAAAACTCTGGTATGGACTCATCGGGCGACCACTCGTATATCCTCTGCATGCTGTTTGGGTACTCCTCAGGGACCCAGTTGCTTCTCACGTTGGTACATAACACGGTCTTGGGCATCCTCCGCGCCTTGTAGACGTAGTACGTGATGTCCGAGAGGACGTCTGTGATGTGGTGTGGGACGTGTGCATGGGACGTGTCCGTGCCCTGACCAATGGACGACAAGATATTGTCAGACTCGTACATGAGGTCCAACTGATGGTCACCCTTGTTCAGTCTGAACTTTGACCTGGTGAGGTCCCTCCAGCCGCCCTGGGGTTGGGTGAAGTCCATGATCCACGGCAGGACCGGATGGTGGTTTGGATCGCACATCCTACGCCCGGCAAACCGGTTCAGAACCATGAGGTAGTCAAAGTTGGACATCTGCCGGTGAACCCACAGGTGTGTTAGCCTCTTCAGCTCTGTGTCCTGAATCTTTTGGTCCCTGTCTGTCCCACAGGAGTTTGTTACGTGATTTTTTGTGACATTGCCTGCCTTTGCTATCCTTCTCCTGCAGTCTGGCGCTTTTAGGCGAACCCACAGCTTTCCATCTAGAACAAGGTCACAAAGAGACAGCTCACCACAGGAGGACACCAAGGTCGTGACAGCTGAGGACAGCATGAAGGATCTGGTACAGCACAAACAGCTGTTTGGCATACGAGTTGGCAAACATGGCAGGGGCTGAAGACGACACAGTCAGCTACGGTGTGTTCCAGGTAGGGCTGGATCAGGTAGAAGGCTGTGGGAGACTCCAGCAGGCACAGGACCACCTGCAGGTTGGAGCACCTGGCAGCAGCTGTGTCGGCTTCCCTCTCCTGGTCTCGATCGCTATCCTTATCTGTGCTGACCACTGGGCAGCAGTACAGCTGTTCCAACAGTCCTCGAGTCTCCTCGTTAAATTCCTACAGAGAGGTTGCAAAAAAACTGAGTGAAAATCACAGAAGTCATCGATTATTTCCACCATGTGACATGAGGCAAATATGTACCCATTCTAACAGTAGTTCAACTACATCTATATTCACTTGAGAAAGTTACAATGTGTACTAGTATGAGAAATTATTTGAGCTAAGAGCTGATCCAGGCTGTAGGTGTCTGACCTGAGCGGTGAGTGTCAGTCCCTCCAGTCGGGGTGTACTGGTGCTGTACTTGTGACAGGCCTGCTGCCACATGTCCCTGTACTGCTGGGCGCTCACATACTGCATGGTCTGACTGAAGCCCTGGGAGGGGCGGATCACATCCCACAGGGGGTCCACCACTGACACTCTGGGCAAGATAGGGAGGAACAAAAGGGATAAATGACCGAGTGAAAACATCATAGTGGTTTATCTGTTAATGTTTTACAATGCAATTGTGAGAAGAGATTATGCAACTAACAAATGAGTGGATTAGTTTCTTTCTTCAAAAGTATTGACAGCAGATCTTATACAATACTAGTATATGTACTTAGTAAGGCTGGCCCTTGTACCTTTGACAGAGGAGAACAAAATCCTAAAGGCATTATGGCACTTTTGTGCACAAAGAAATGCTGAAACACAACAGTTCCTCATAACGTTCAACCATGGATATAGATGTGCTACATGTATGTACTGTACCTTTCTGGCTCTGCTATCTTTTCTATGGTGGATATGGTGATACGTCTCCACTGCGTTGGTATCTTCTTTGTGGATGGCTGCAGCAAAAGTGCCTGTTCTGTCTTGGACAGGTGCTGAGGCTGGACACATTTTCTGGGCAGGCACCTCTGTTTGATGACAGTGGACAGCCATTGCTCATGAACCTGCCAAAAGCATGTATGATAGATATGAATGATTCTCTGGAGAAAAACAAATTTTAAAAAAATCATCAGAGACAGTTTTCGGTAGCTGAGCTGTGGGTTTATAAATTATATATCTTTGCGTTGGAATAGTCCTGTCAGAGATGTACTGTACAGGGTTGTACTGTAGGCCACTGCCTCCATTTGTCAGCACGGAGGTTATGGTCAGTTTGGTGTTATGGTTACAGAATTATCTTTTATGTTACATTCCAGGTAACTATGTAATATGTATAAATTATGAAGTCAAATACAAATACATCTCCAGATATAAATCATGCGAATTATGCGAATTAGGGTTGTAATTTGTTTGGGCATGGAGGTTTTCTACCTCCATGGTTTGGGGAAGGTACTCAGAGTATGTGATCGTCGAACAGTTTCTGGTTTCTAGTTTCTGTTCCGGGACGTTATAAAAAAATTATCCTCCAGCATAACTTTTACTTTCGTCTGCTTGCACGTCCATTGAAAGCAATCACAAATCATCTTATCGTACTTGCTATAGTGGTACAAAGGATAAAGCTAATCATGGCCTTTGCCGAAGAACTCTACAAAAGACAGCAAAAATTTTGACCAAATCACCGTACCAAAGCATCCACCGTACGGGAGTCGCGCTGTCTCAGCTGACTCCTAGCGATCTTCAGGTCCCCTTCTGTCTGTTCCACAGACATCTTCATTCATGCCAGGGCGACGTGGATTATTGTACGTAACACAGAGGTTTCAGGACAGAAAAAAAAGCGTCAAAATCATGAGATTCTCAGTCACCCAGTTTTCAACCGGAGGCCGCCATGTTTTGCTTCTGACAAAATGTCTGGGTACGCCACCTATCAACTGGTGGTGGAAGAGCATCATTGTAGGTGCGACATCTGCTCAATGATCTTTTGAAGAAAAAATAATCATATTTACAAGAAAGAAAGAAAAGCAAAAAAATCACTTTTTCTGGTGGCGATTTGAGGTTTGTGGTGCAGTATGTCACAGTCTTAAGTTAAGTAAACAAGTTTGATAAAATGTGTAAAATGCTTCATGTGCCATAAACCTTCTCATTTAAATATTGCCAACCCATTGGATGCATTAGTGAAAAAGAAAACTATTCCCGCCCAGAACAAGCCGAAGCGCTTTAGCCAAAACCGGTAGTAGCATCGTGCTCGTGACTTGTGTCTCGTGACTGACTGCGGGCTGATGAATTTTTGAACTGTCTGCGGAGTAGGTTGTGTAGGAAGTACACTACTCTCCGCGGAGCAGCTGTAATAGCCCCTACAATTCGTAACCCCACTCCTCTCCTTCCTAACCAACATGGCGTCCGAACTGTCTTGGCCGAACTCTAAGGACGAGTATGAGCTGAAGGAAGTCATAGGAAGCGGGGCAACCTCCGTGGTTCAGGTAGCCTCCTGCAAACCTAGAAACGAACAATGTGCCATCAAACGAATCAACCTGGATAAGGCGAACACCAGTATGGAGGAACTGCACAAAGAGATTCAAGCCATGCGCCAGTGTAACCACCCAAACGTGGTCAACTTCTACACTTCATTCGTCGTGAAGGAAGAGCTGTGGTTAGTGCTGAAGCTTCTGTCAGGGGGGTCCTTGCTTGACATCATCAAGCATCGCAAGGCCCAGATGGACTGTCACCAAGGTGTGTTGGACGAAATCAGCATAGCCACCGTCCTGAGAGAAGTTCTGAAGGGGCTGGAGTATCTGCACAATAACGGACAGATCCACAGGGACCTGAAGGCTGGGAACATCCTCCTGGGCAATGACGGCACCGTGCAACTGGCAGATTTTGGGGTGAGTGGGTGGCTAGCAGTCGGCGGTGACATGGCGCGGGAAAAAGTGAGGCGAACATTTGTGGGGACGCCATGTTGGATGGCGCCGGAGGTCATGGAGCAGTCGGAAGGAGGATACGACTTCAAGGCCGACATTTGGAGCTTCGGGATCGTGGCTATAGAACTGGCCACGGGAACCGCACCTTATCACAAGTACCCGCCGATGAAGGTCTTGATGCTGACCCTTCAGAACGACCCCCCAAATCTTGACACAGGTGCAGACGAGAAAGATCAGTACAAAAAGTATGGCAAGTCCTTCAGGAAACTTATCGCCGCCTGTTTGCAGAAGGACCCGGCACAACGACCAAATGCCACAGAGCTGCTGAAGAGCCCGTTCTTCAAGAAAGCCAAAGGGAAGGAACACCTGGTGGATGTGTTGATTAGGGGCGGGCCTGGGCTGGAGATGCGGTCCCAGAAGGTGAAGCGAGTGCCTGGATCCAGCGGGCGGCTTCACAAGACGGCAGACGGGCAGTGGGAGTGGTCTGATGAGGAGATGGACGAGGAGAGCGAGGAGGGCAAGGTCGCAGCCGCGTCCAAATCCCCTCGCATCAAGAACCCGACGGGCTACGATGAGCCTGAAGATGTCACCGGTGCACAGCCCAAACCTGCAGACCCTCCTCCTGCCAACCAGGCACAGACCGCGCCCCCAGTCAACACACAGCCCCAGCAAGTACCCCTGGCATTCCCTCAAGGTCAACAGTTGACGACAGAACAACAAATGATGTTGCAGCAGCAGATGTTATACCAGCAGCAGTTGCAAGGGGGCATCATTTATCCTCCCCCAGGCTCTGTTCCCATCGCCCAGCCACCTGCACCAGTACAGCTCCAGCCAGCGCAAAACTTAGTTCTCCGCCTGAGGGACACAAACAAGGAACTGAAGGACATTCGTTTTCCCTTCATCCCAGGAAAGGACACTGCCGACGGCGTGTCCCACGAGTTAGTAGCAGCCGGCCTCGTAGATGGCCGAGATTACGTGGTAGTTGCAGCAAATTTGCAAAAGATAGTGGATAACCCAGCTGCCAACAAAAGTGTTACCTTTGCCCTAAGCTCAGGCTGCTCCCCTAATGAGGTTCCTGATGATAAGGCTTTGGTAGGCTTTGCACAGCTTACTATCACAGACAAGTGAAGTAGCACTTCAACAGTGGGAATGGTTGTTAGGATACTTAGTTTCAATGCCATGGCCCACAGAGTGGTTTTTGACCAAAGAGATGCATTACAGTTTTGTAGGTAAAACACTTCTGTTTGCTATAATTTTTTTATATTGGAGGACAAAATGTTAACAATTTGCAGCTTAGCAAGCTCAGAGTATTCTTAAGTATACAGGTATATATTCGGCATGAAACACAAATGTCAATGTCGATCCTTGATGTGATCTGATGTCAAATCTGATGTCAACGCATTTTGTAAAGTAACTGACACATGGGGGGGGGGCTGAAATTACATGCCCAGAAATTATATTTGCTACGGAATGATTCATTGGGAGATTCACCACACCTGGTCAAATTAGGTATTCACCAGTGTCTATGACAAGCTAGAGATGGTAATTTGATTGTCACTTTTATTGAGTCTTAAGCACTTTTGTTTGGATTTCTAATAAGTCTGAAAAGAACAATAGCTACTGTCTATATCCTGTGTGAAGTGCAATCCATTGGACACTATTGTAGCAAAGTAAATATAAATATGTATGATCCACAGATCCAGTAATGTTACATGTAGTCACCATGTATAAAAATGATGTTAGTGTTTTGTGAAAGTTTAGTTTGAATCGAAGGAAAGATTGACTGAAGTTGATTATTATGTATCAATTATATTTATGTGATAATTATAATTTTACAGTATAATTTGCCAGCCTGATGATGATTGTCACTAGATTTACTATGATGAATGTTTGATAAATGTGTTCGTGGTTCAAAGCCATTGAGCAGAAAGTACTTAGCTGCATATATTCCAAATAAGGTACTACACAATGTACCTTCAATTAAAAGCTACAAGTTGTTGAGGGAAATTCAAGCAGAAAGTAATTTTTGAGGTTCAATCTAAAATGATGTTGGTAAGGCTCCTTTCCCACTAGAGGGTGATTGCTGAGTGACCAAAATTGGATTCGTGCCAACCTTGATTTTGTAATTGGAATAATGATGCATAATGCAAAACTATGATTTAAATGACAACAAAACACAAATTTAAAACACACTATGAACTTCATTGAGCAAACTGTCAAATGTTTGGCCGTTCAGTGTTGCAGCCTCTGGTGGAAAGGGGTTTTAAGTCTCTAGCAAAGACAAACACATGGTGAGGTGACAGTTCTGAGATGTTCTATATTCTGTCATAATGTGCAACTTCATTTTTCACTGAACATTGTACTTGTGTCAATGTAGTGTCCACATAATGTAGTCAATGAGATAGGTTCATTATTGTGAGTATGCAAACAAGCATATGGCTGTCTGTGTGACAACCACAGAATCCACATCTCTTTCTTTTTCATCATTGAGATCTTTTGTTTCTTGCATATTGTAGCTCCTTACTGTAGGCACGCAAGATACTAGTCTGTATTTATGTTTAGTACAACATCTTCATCATGGCATGTACCAGAACAATTTTAAGGTGTTTGCAGAATGATGTAAGTTGTCGAAGTAGTGAATGCCATATTGCTGGTGCTGTACATGTGCTGTTCTGTTGGGAAATCAATAAAAAGCAGAAAAAATCAGCAGTTTGCACAGATATTGTTATATATACTAGTGTATTGTCTGAAATCTCCAATTTCTTGTTTCTAGTGAAAGCACTATATAGCCTAGCAAGTAAATTTAGTCTTAGTCTTTCCAACACCTACTTGAACTGCAAATACTGTCACAATCCAGCCATAGCTTCTTGAGTTATTCCTGGCCAAAGCATGCAGAAACACAAATAGAGAAACAGACTGAAGACACTGCCTCTCATGAAATCCCCTTTAAGATGTAAGACCACAGCAAGTAAATTTTATGGATGACATCTTCTGCAGACTCCAAATTTAATGAAAAAAAAAGATTCCCACAGTTTCATATTTTAAGATCATGAGATCATGAACCTTCTTGAACAAGAATTGAGGCGACAACATAATATCACAACCAACTGGTCTTCTTTTCCTGTGTTCAACAGTATTGAAGAAAATCAGCGCGCGCGTTGATGCCATTCATAAAATGTACTTGATGTAGCCAATGGTGTTGATTCATTTCGTCGAGACAGTGCATTCTGTACATAGGGGTAAATACTAGCAAGAAAATTGTGGAAACTGTGACTTTACACTGACTTATAACCTCCCTTCCAACTTGTTTACCACAGAGCTTTCACCAAATATTTTGTTTACATACAATTTTCTTTTTGATGAGAATCTTCCAAGAACTAGTGCATTTTTTTGTAGGTCACATCTGGTTTATTGAATTTACGACCCCCTCTGTCTCACGCCACTTGGTAGATCCGGAGGTCAGTCAGGTCACCGGCAGCGAGCATCGTGCATGGAGTTTAGAGTTTCAACCTTTCGTTAGCCGCGACGTCAGGCGGCCCAACAAACCGCCTGAAGGACTCCCGTATTAAAGATGCTGTCGTTCGGGCAGAGGAGCGTCGTCCTGATCTACCAGTCGTCAAAATGTTGTCAGGTACAAGAGTTAAGTTCACTTACGTGAGCTTACCTCTCGCTCACTATCCGCCCCCCTCCCACCCTCATCGTTACTGATCTGATCTGATGGAGAGGAAATGTATTTTTGTGTGTTCTCTGTGACTGTAAGGAACAAACTTGAGAGGTTGAACCATGCCAACTATGTATAGTAGAGCAGAGTCAAGAGTGGCATAGAGTAGAGTAAGTAGATTACCGCGCTTATACCTTGAGGATACCTTGAGGATGTGTGAATGCAGCTATGCAGAGGTTTTTAGATTAAGTATGTGGCTAAAAAAATTATGGTGAGGCATATATAAAATTTTTAATATTGTTACAGAGACTTGTTGTGGCCAGCATGTCTTCAGGACCTGTCCACCTGGATATCCCAGCCCAGGGGAGTCAGCAGCAGACAGGTGTGTATGGCTACTGTGACTGTCTCTGACCCACCAGCAGAAGTGATGATTTTGTGCAGACCGTCTACGTGCAGTTGGAACATTAATTTTTGGGAGGAGTGCTGATTTGTGATGTTCAACATGGGCCATGGTTTTCAATAACACATGCCTAGGCACGACATCCACAAGAAGCATGTTTCTTTATTGATGTCTTGCAGCTAACTAAGAAGTCTTGTTTCTTTATAATGATGTCTTACAGCAAATTAAGAAGTGATGTTTCATTTTTTAAAATGTCTCAGACCAGTCGTCAGTGCTGCCTTCCCCTGACAGTCCCATCCTACGTCTGGTAGACAAGAGTAGGTTACCTCGGTCCAGGTTCTCCCAGCCGGTGTACAGCTGGCTGGAAACTCTGGGAGAAATAAAGGATGAGAAGCTGGGAATGGTACAGTTACACCCTGATGTGTTTTCTACACATCCCAGGTGGGTTCTTTCTCATTAAATTATAATGTTCTGTGACTAGTATGTGCATCATGTTCCTTTCCTTTGTAATTGTATTTTCTTTTTGTGCTCAATGTGTGTTTTTTTACTATCATTATAACATCTGTTGTATATGTGTTTTTATTTCTGTATGAGCTCTGGAAGACTAGCCTTTTGGGCTATAGGGCATCGAAATATTCTCTGGGTACGGAAACAGTTACCACAGTCTTTTTACTATTTAGGACTAATATAATGAACCATATATGATGAATAATAGAAGACCTCCCAAAACAATATTAGCCTTTGGGCAAGAGTCTGCAATGCAATGAAGTCTGAGTTAAGGTTGTGTGTGTGAATGTACAGTGTCATATATGGTAAGCAATGTATCGTGGCCAATGTTTCTGATGTTTTCTACTGACAGGATGGACATCCTCCACCGCTGTGTCAGGTGGCAAAAGTTCTACAGGAAAATCGTGAGTTAGTTTACAAATTCTCAAAAGTCTCAGCCCGACATATTTTTTTTCAATTGTTTGAATGGTGACCACTTTTAGCTAATGTCAGGTCTCTTTACTAACCTGGATAAAGCCTGGCCTATGGATTGCTTGGACATTCTTCAATCATCTTATATTAGTTTTACAGATGTAAATTAATTAACAGACATGACTCCTACTGAGAAATCCCTTTCTTATTTATTTCTAGAATTATGACTATGCCAGGACCAGAGCTGACATGAGGGGAGGTGGAAGGAAGCCCTGGCCTCAGAAGGGCTCAGGGAGAGCCAGACATGGCAGTATAAGGTCTCCACTCTGGCATCTGGGTAAGGTTCTCTGCTAGGGTGGCCACAATCAAACTTGTCCTTCAATTTGCAGATGCCTAACCACATACTAAATACCCATCATCACTATCAACGACACCTTGAACACACTGACATGCACACACACACACACACACTCACTTATACGCACACACACACACAGACACACTCACTAATACACACACACTCACTCACACACACACACTCACACATACACTCACTCACACACACTCGCATACACACACACACACACACACACACACACACACACACACACACATTAATACACATACTTACACATTCATTAATACACATCATACTTACACACTCACTAATACACACACACACACTCATTAATACACATACACATACACACACACTTACACTCAGTAATACACACACACACACACACACACTCGCTAATACACACATATGCCTCCAGTGAAATGCCTCCAGATACGGAGGTGCTGTTTTGTATGTATTACTTCACTACAGACCCAAATGGTCAGATGCAGGAAATGGGGTCCCAGAAGCTGGCTGAGAGCAAGCAGGAAGAAGTTGGCAGGTTGCCAGGAAAAATCATGATTCACATTGAGTAAAACAAAAAATTCACAAATACTCAGAATATCTCTGAGAGCTTTGATAAAACTCTCCACTTTCTTGCTTATTGGCTCGAGTACTAGTAACTAGTAACTAGTAGTAAGTTTCTCTCTTTGTCCTTCACAGGTGGGAAGTCCCATGGCCCACGGGGACCCTACAGTTACTACCAGTACCTGCCACTGAAGGAGAGGGCACTGGGGCTGAAAGTGGCACTCACTGTCAAACACAGTCAGGTATGAGGGTTCTCAATAATGGCAGGCCCAAACACCTACCCATCATGTTCTAACAGTTTTAAAAAGGGAGACTAGTCATCAAAATTATCATGATGAAAAAAGGGGTACCGCGGCAGAATAAAATTTGTGACAGAAAACACAAAAAAATGCTACATACATTAGTAGTGCTCAATGACTGCTCATGGGGAAATATTGTTTTTTGTGTTTGTGTTTTTGAACTTGTATATTATTGTTCTCATTATTGCATAGATTATGTTAATTTACATCCAAATCTTTTTTCTTCAGGGTGATCTCCACATTGTGGATGGGTTAGAAATTCCCACCGCTGATCCTGAGGTAGGAAATCTTAATTCTTTGTTGGGAAGTTTGTAACTTTCCCTCAAACAATGTTTCTCTTCAATACAGTGTACTACAATTCTAAGTCAATTTCTTCTTCCTGGACAGTACATGGAGGACCTGATGAGATATAGAAACTGGGGAAAGTCTGTTCTTCTTGTGGATTTGTAAGTATGAATAAGTTTGTTTGAGTTTATTTGATGCATGTCACATGTCTTACCAATTACTATTAAAAGCATGTAACTAGTACTATAGGAATAACAAGAAGAAACAAGCACATTTCTTGGGTCCTTTTGTTGATGCATGACAGTATACATGTAGGGTTACAATATGTTTACAAATGTATCATAATATACATTGTACATTGTATATAGATATTTTTTGTGCTCTCACATTAGATTTGAAGTCTGCAGAGTTTGTCATCCATAATATAGAATCATTGTGGAGTAATGTATGAGATGGAAACATTATTATCTCCACCTCTGATACATGATGGCTATTGGCACATTATGTCCCTTGGGTGTCATGTATCCCAGTAATGCATAGTAATCATAACTGACTGCTGGGTGCACAATTTTTCAGGAATGAAGATATACCAGAAAACATATGTGAGGCATCTGCACAGCTGAAGACCATAAATGTCATGCCTTTAGTTGGTAAGTGTTTTGGCTGTTATCCTCTCTAACTAGGGAGTGAATGAGAGGTATGCACATGTATAACAACTACTTTATTGACTCTTGATTATCCAAACTCTGGGTAAACAACGCCCCCTAGGGGACAGGTATGCATGTGCAGGATATCTAAGTGTGGCTTGAGAAACCCGTTACCGTGTCATAACAATGTGAAAAATGTAGTTTTCCATTATAACATATACATGTGTTGAATGATAAGGTTAGATTAGTATGTTAGAAGAAATAGTTTACAGCTATTAAGTACTAGAATTATTTGACATACATTGTACCCAATGCAATTGTTGCACAATGATTTTTGACTTGACTTGACTAGTAGTTGACTTGTGTTAGAGAAAGAAAGTTTGACAATGTCAATGGAGAAGAAAGTTTTGAAATTTGCCCATTTGGCTGAAAGGACTTCCCAGAGTGATAGATAAATAGACCATCAATGTTGCAGTTTTGAGTCCTCTCCACGTATCTCCCTCACAGGTCTGAATGTTTACAGCATGCTGAAACATGACACCCTCGTGCTGTCACTGCCCTGTGTCCAGAAGCTGGAGGACAAACTCCTGTACCAGGACCACAGACACAGCCACGGGGGCTTGGGAACAATATCAGGAGACAGAGATGTGTTTACAGGGACTTGGACTGAGAAATAGTTCTTTACCTGTACCCCCTGGGTAACTCTAGGAGGATGTAACGTTACATGTGCAGTGGAACATTAACCAAATATCACTTGTATAGAGAACTCGTAGATGGTTTAAGAACTTACAGTCAACAATTAACATTGTAGCAGGAACCTCAATGTATCATGATGATAATAAACAAATTGTAACAGGAACTTTGAATGATATGAATCATAGCGTTAGATGTTGTAGAGGTAACATTAGTTTTCATTTCCAAACTACAGCTGCTGCAGCTGTACACATTAAAAAAGGGACAAAAGTACATTTCTGTTGTTTCTTTTGTGTTTGTGTGCATGTGTGTGTGTTATGGGTGTCTGCCTGTATGTACAAGGACTTTTGTGTGTCTGTAACGTTACACGTTAAAAGTCTTTTAACTCCATGGTCTGTAAAAGGGCTGTTCAATAAATGTTACCCAGGACCTAATTATGGGTACACTAGGAGGTTGAAAGTGCTGTCCACCATTGCTGATGATACTGTCTGGAAACTTGTATCATTACCAACCAGCCCTCCTTTGGCAGCAACCTTTGGGGTAGGTGGCAGCCTTGAGCGTGATTTTTTAGTCAGGCTGAGGCTTGGTCCTCCCCCTTAGACAAGGCAAACATGGAATAGAGAAAAACTTTGTTATTCACAATATGTTCAAACAAACAGTGATGTTACCACTCTAAAACAACTTGGGAATGAACTTTAGTATCTTCAAAATTCATCCAAAACTCATCATCTATTTGTGAGCCTGGAGAGGAAATGCAAAGGAGGAAATTGCCTTGGTGCCAGGCAACACGTGACGTCACGATGCTCATTAATTATGCAAGTGGCCGCCATGAGTGCGAAGAGTTTGAACGGGACCCTGTGGGAGGGCGGCTGGAACTAGACACGATTTACCCATTACAGCCGCGTTCAAACGTACAGTTACTATTCCTTCGACTAGCCAGGAGGCTTATTGATCATATTAGGTAGTATACAGAAGGATAGACGTGATCTGGACGTTCCACTTTGGGATAGAAACTTGCAGTGTCCCGGGTCGCGGACTTCGACATGGCGGCTTGCTGGGAATGACAGCCCGCCGATCTTATGTGCGTGGACCGACTTAGGTTGGGAAGCCGCGTCAACATGTCATCTAAGGACTGTAAAGAGTCCCTCCGAACAGTTTTCACCAAGTCTATGTGGAGATCAGGGCTGGCGGTGGGTGGCAGGCGGAGGTTGGGTGGCCTGGCGTACGCGTGTGGGCTGTGCCTGGTACTGCTGATCTGTTTCACAACAGGTAAGACCCGCACACCTGGAACACATTAAAGCTCACAGTTACACGGGAAATCTACAGTTCTAACATGGTACACTTGCTGGTCCCGAAAAATTATGTCGGTTGTCATAATTGTGCCTTACTCTATTCAAATTCTATTTACCATCTTTGCTAATAGTAATACATGAGTCACGAAGTTACAAGGAAGTGCAAACAAGTTCTTAGTAATGTAGGTGACCCGGTCCGGAATATGGATATTGGGTTTCTTTTCTCTTTGTATCGCTTCTGTTGTGACGCACTTGTGACAAGTTCTATCAAAATACATTATATGTCCTCAAAAGTTGAGGCTTGGATACTAACTGCTTGGCAAAACGTGAACATGTCAACATTATGCAAGGCCTCTGCAAGAGAAGAAATGTTGAAGTTGTGCTCTAACTTACATAGCCATATTTCGTAACGATCAACTTGCAGAAGTGATTGATGGAAGTGAAGTTTAGGTGAATGTGTGTGTGTGTGTTTGACAGTTTTTTCATGTATCTCAAAGTCCAAAATTTTCTTTAGATATGGAGTCCAAAGGATTTTGCATGGCCATGGAGTTTAGCACCTGTTGTAACAATTGTCTAACTTTATAATAATAGACTGATCCTGACTGTCCATCACAACACAAGTAACACTTCAACCAATCAATGCATGGTTTGACCAATGAGAGTGGGTGCCTGTCCCTCAAAATCAAATATTTTCATTTTTATCTTTTTATTTTGCATTCCTACATTTTGACATCATCATGTTGGAAATTGTTGGAGAATGAGGTTCTTCAGTCAGTCTGCAATAATGTTGCCCAAAGAAAATCTTACTCACACCATTCTTTTTTATTTGTACTGGATAAAATTTAAAAGGAATGGAAAATTTTCAGCTGTAGCTGGTAAAAAAATCTCTAATCAGCTTACAGAATACCTGATCCTGTAATACTTGTGAAAAGTATGCTCAAAGTCCGTGAATGGATTTGCCAACAATGGAAATCAATAGTGATTGCACACATTGTGAGCACAGGACAGCCTTTTAGTGGACAAAAATCAATCCCAGACCAGGCTAAGTTGTGCTAGATTTACAACTTTCATTAAGCTAAAACAGTTAATGTTATATTTGGAATCTTGGAATCACCAAGTTGAGAAAAGAACAGTATAATTACATAGGTGTTAAATGCGAAATTGGGTACCTAATAGATCACAGGGTAATGCTTTATGTAATATATGTAATAATAGGGCCCCAAAACACATCATTAGTGAAACTGGTTTATACTCATATTTTTCAATATGAAAACTGGAAAGAAAGCCTGAGGAACATGTACTGGTGTAGAGATTGTAAGAAGAGAATAAATTGTGTGTCCTTATGTAAAGCACTGTTACCAGGTATGCTCAGCATACCTAGTAACAGTGCAGCAGCTGATGTGGGGATTTGGATGTGATCTTAAAGTGTCTTTCTATAGATTAATATAGATAGAGTATTATGTTATAAGGAGGCGATGACATCCTGTTTGAAAAACGTTAAGGTGTGTGAGATATCCCTGTGTCAACAGATCATTCAGGCTGTTCCTTAGGGAAAGGATAAGATGTCCAAATAAACAAACAGCATGATGCCACTTACACATGAGGAACTCAGTCCATCCTCATTAAATAAAATGCTGTACATATCAAACTGTAAATTTGTTAGAGCTAGTCCATGACATCTGAATGCCAGTTCTTCCATGATCTATATACTGCACATTGTTTTTGGATGATAAAACATCTATGATCTTGTAGTTATATACCAGTTACACTTAAAGGTTACAGTTAGGCACAGACATACAGGCCTTATGGGAAGTAGTTGTGTACTCTTTCTTTTTAGCTGACACTGAAGTAGCCATTTGGCTACCAATTCTCTTCTGGTAAAATGCAGGGATACAGTGGGGTTAGGCAGCAGGAAGTTGGACAAACATCATGTAAACATTGCCTTTTGACTTCTTAACAGGTGGTTCAGTAAATAGTCTGGCAGACACTTCCTTGGAGCTAATGCAAGTATTGCATGTTGACAATGGACTTGTCCTTCATTGTTGCCACTTACAACTGCATGAATGCTAATAGTCAGTAAGCCAACAGCTAAGTGTGACAGTTCAGTCCAGTGGTAAATACTCATTCTCATATTATTAACCCAGAGATAGGGGGGGGGGGTTTAAACATTAATGGCTTAAAATTTCTGGAACACATTTTGAGATTTTCTTCATACAGCTGAATCTGTTCAATCATGAAGTATGGAAAAAATATGCCAGTTTGCCATATGTAAATATAAATAGATTGTCAGGGTTCTTACTTATTGTTATTTAATGAACTAAATGATAACCAGAATGAATGACCTAGTTTTTATGACTTTTTACAAGTTGGCATTGCCTAGTCTATCATCAGTAGTACTGTACCATGGACTCAAATAATACCTCCATGGTAGTACCAGCCATGGTTACTTTCCAGAGTTCCTTGTAATGTCAGTATTGACAGTCATGTCAGCTGCCAGAGCTAAATTACTGCCACATTTCATGTTTTAGGCCACACCAAGTAAATTTTATGGATGACGTCCTCGCGCGCATTGATTTTGGCCTCTTCCTAGAAAAAAAAACAAGAAATTTTGCTTCCTGTAACTATGACCAAAGAGTCACGACAGTGTCGCAAATCGTCAGATTGACGTGAAACCCGCAACGCGAAGAAAGTGTCTATTGACAGGACCATCCTGTCAATAACAGAAAATTTTTCACTGTCCACTGATCCACCTGATTTATTGCTGTTTTGATGAAGAAGAAAAGACTTCTTGCTTGCTACACTGTGTCACCTCATTCATTTTGTGTCCTAACATTTGTCGTCTCTTAGTATATTTCTAATCTAAGCATCTTGTTTTTTAGGGCCCTTCTTGTTTTTTTTTCGCCCTCTCGCATTAGATTTAGGGTCTCCAAAGGACGTCATCCATAAAATTTACTTGGTGTGGCCTTATACAACATCAGTTGGCTCAATTGCCAGCCAACTGGTTGATAGCCAGCTATCTAATCTGTGTACCCTACATACCAGTATCGTCGGCTGCGTAGCTATGTTTGGGGTGACCAGAACGATTCTCATCAGTTTGTGCTGTGGTGGTCAAATGTTTTGACTTCAAATCAAACATGTGTCTGGCAGAAATGTAGGTTGTTTGCTCCAAACGTCTATGTTTTACAGTAGTTTCTACACACAAAATAATATTTGGCGATACTTTAAAACCAGGCTCGAAATACTGAGTGCATAATATACAAGTGTTTGTGCACTGAAAATTGAAGCTTTGCACCTACCATGATTTTCTTACTGTGGGTGTACAATTATACCCATATATTTGTGTAGGGTTATGTATGTAAAATAATTGTTCACTAATATATAGCACATTCTGCTGTATGTCATATGTTGGAACATGGAGGTACTCAAATAATACCTCCATGGCCAGACCTGCAAACATAATAGTCACAGGAAAGCATGACAGCATTTATCACCATGGTATAAATGGAATAGTCACTATATGCATAACGACAGTTTATCAGGTTACCGGGCAACTGTCCTGCTCATATCAAAGCTTTTGTATTTGATAGTTCTGGGCAGTTGCCTTCTGCTTAATTAGGCCAAACCAATTTAATTTTTGGTTTTTGGATCTGTCTGCTTCCATTTCACATCTAACAGGCTGTCTAGTCTGCCAAGTCAAACATATTGTGTGCAGAAAAGTCACAGAAAGTGAGGTGGAGATTTTGTAACTTTAGATTGATGGGAAGGTCCACCCACACAGTTAGTACAAGTCACTGGGGGGTACCTACTTAGGGCTTGTCAAAACAAGTTAGGTTTGTGCACTTCTGGCCTCTTAGCCTGCCATGTTTAGGACCCATCCTAGACCCGTTGTTGTATGTCAGACCATTTCTTTTCTCTGTGCCAATAAAAATTTGGCACAACTCTACACACTTCCCAGATGTTTGAAGACTCCAATTTCTTGTTAGAGTTATGGAATGGATTTGGAACACCGTAACATTGCATTTGGCTGTACGGCAGGGGCTTAGCCTAAGTTTTTTAGAATTCATTAGAAGGACCTTGTCAGTAGACTTAACCATCATCAGGTTACAAAGCCTTGTTGGGTCTGCAAAGAAAACAAAGTCTTAAAAGAGTCACCACATAACAAAGGACTGCACCAAAATACAAAATGTATTACCTTCAACATTACCATAGGATGTAATGTTAACAGTAATTTAGTATTACATCCTTAACTACCTTAGACATAGATTGTTCTGTGAAAAATTTGTTTTGGACTGTGAACTATTCTTTCCCACTGTTTCCCAGAAATTTTTGTATCTGAAATCTGAAACACCTGCCCACCTGCCTGTAACTGTTACAGTATTTTCATGAAAATCTTTCAAAGTGTCAGTACTCGACTCATAACTTTTGGTTTTGTATTAGACATGTCCTCGAACTCTAAGTCTCAAGAACCATTCCCATTCTGAGAACTAGCTTGTACCAAAACTGTGCATCAATTAACCTAGAAGTTAAGAACACAGATAAGTTATGTACAATATTGAACACATGGTTAGTTACAGAAATTTCTACTCATCTCTTGTCTACACCTGTAATTAATAATGTCTGTCCTACCTGTACATTTTCAGAATTTCAAATGTCCCCTTCCTTTTACAGCTTAGTATAGGGATGTGTGATTAATCTTTATACAACTCTTTTGTTTTTTTAGAAACATCAGCGCAGTGTGACTGCAGTACGAACTGTAGCTGTTCCTTTGCCAACTGTACTGCTGGTCAGTACTGGAACGACACTGCAGGATGTGTCACCTGTCCCGCCGGATTCTTGTAAGTACTTTACTTTTTTTTCGATTCCATCATTTATTGCAAAACATGTCGACAGCACACTCAAGTTTTTTCAACTTATTTTTATGCCGCCAGCAAAGTAGAAAAACGCATGAACAGACAACAGAAATACTCATTTTCATCAGAGTAAAGTGAGGAAATTTGTGTCAAGTGCCTTTCCCAAGGGCACAAGATCAATGACATGGCAGGATTCGAATGTGGGGCCTCTTGCTTCCAAGCCGAATGCTCTGTCGTTATGCCACACGACCGTATAGTATATACATTTTTACTTTGGTGTGAAAATTGCACTGAAATGTTTCAAAAAGCCTGTACTTTCTTTCAGCCTCATAATGAGGTAATTTCTATTCATTTTCTGCTGCATAAATTTTACAATTAAATTTTACAGCACTAGCATTTTGTAACAGCCCTTTTCTATTTCCAGTGGGTGGGCACTAAATCTTACCTTACAAACATTGATTACAGTATAATGATGTGGGTGGAGCACCAACAATTGCTATCCATATGATAATGTAACCCTGTAGACTAGAGTCAATTCCGCGTCACCGAGTGGGTTGTTATTGTCATTATTTAGAAATGTTTTGAATTCTTTGTAATTGTTTGTCTAAGAAATTTCATAATTTGGAAATATTTTGAACATCTTGCCAATATTCTAAATAATTCCCTGGTTTTCTAAAACGTTTGAAATATTCCTGATGTGGATTATGACATTTCCAATAGTTTCTAAATATTTCTAACAGCACTCTACCATTTTTTACCATTATTTCGAATTATTTCTAACATTTTGTAAATAGGTCAGTGGGATGGGAAGGAAGTAATTCACACATCCCTGTGAAGTACAGGGTAGACTGCCTGGGTGTCAGGCATTGATGCCTTACAACAAAAGAGCCACCAGTGTCCAGCAGTGAAATCTAAAAATATACAGAGGAAGACAGAAGAGTAGGATTAGCACCTACTTTTATGGGGGCAATTACCCACATCTACCATTTGGTTATTTGTTTGAAATAGTTCTAAATATTTCGAATTGTGAAAGAAACACATGGGTAGTTCAAATTTATTCTAAAGAAAGAGATCTTTGTACAGTCACATTCAAAATGTTTCAGAAATATATAAATGAATTCAAATATATTCAAATTTTCATTTTCAAATTTTTGAAAAATTTAGAACTTTTGTTACTGGGGTATTCTTTTCTTCTAAATAATTCAAACGTATTAGAAACATGGAGAAAAAACCCACTCGGTGACGCGGAATGGACTCTACTACAATATGGCACTGAGATGCAAATTCACATTGAAAGATAACAAGAGAGCTGTCAGTTAATCAATAAATGAATCAATCAATTGTTCGCCAATTGATATCCTGCTGTGCAGGTGTATTCAAGAATCCAAATGGCAGCACAATCATAACAGTCATATAACTTTTCATTGATTTTCTTGTGAGAAAGTTGTTTTAGAATATTACTCTTTCTTGTTTATTAGTTCATAGTGACAGTTATGGAAATTAGATAAAACCACAATCATTTTTTATAACTGGCATTTAAATGACTTAAATGAATGGCAGCCGTCACGCCACGTACTAAATCGAACGCGTTTCGAACCGTTTTTATTTGCAGTTCGAATCGATCCGCGATCCCTAGCAACGCCGTTGCTAAGGAAACTCTTTTCGCGCGGCAGTTGGATGAAATTTCATCCGACTTTCACAGCTGCGTTGAGCCTGGTTTGTGGCATATTTACCTTCGTTGCGTTACATGTACCAGACGGGAATGCCATGTACTCTTGACATGATCAATTTTTGGAGGGTTTTACAACGTATTTTGTTAGATAAATGGTCATATTTGCTAAACAGTGAAATCGTCAAAATGGCGGTGCCGAACTGAGCTAAATTTTCGACGAAATTCACATTAGGGGCATTTGCATGTCGCCCTCGATTCTGTCATATATGACCATTGAGTAAGATTCGTTGAATCTTTGACTATGTCTCTTGTGAAAATCTTGTTGGATCAAAATCTGGAAATGCTTGTATATTCATATCAACCGGGGCCACGTCCTCAGCCGTTTTACGCCAAAAGTTCTAAAACGTTGGTTTAGTTGATTCTAGGACAACCGGCGTTTTAGCACAAGTTGCGGTATTAATGTACCCTCTCAATATTGTCAAAGGATGCCTACAGACACAGACTACGTAACTACGAACTGAATCAGCAAATGCTTTTATTACTCTTGCAGGTATTATTACTAAAATCCAACGGTGCGGTTCTGGCGTCTGGTCTGTGGAACGCGCTTGAATCCCGCGCTGTTTTTGGAACGAAAACGATGCCTCTGATGAGGTGGCCTCGCGCGATTACGAAGGAAGCTCATTACGTCCCCAAAATTGATAACAAATTATATACGGACAGAAAGTAGAGACTTCAGGCTATTTTACGCACTAGATTTCTTTTTGTTGTGAAAACTGAAATAAGGTAAAAACATCGGAGGAATTTCCACCAAAATCAAGTGGTTTCAGGTCATATTATCAAACGAGCAGAGGTTAACAATCGTTTTAAAAAGTCACTAGGAGTAAAATAGAAAGCTTAATATTCACAGATACAATGAAATAATGAAGATATATAGTTATAAACTCAAGCAACAAGCTTTGCAGTAAGAGGTCCCGACTCCCGGGGGTTATAGAACGTAAAATTGTCTCAAAACGGCGCGCGGTTCGCCGTGAGAGTCAATCATAAATCTTAAGGTCAGATTTATATCACTTCGGGTTTGTGAATTGACTTGAAACTCGGAATCCATACACGGGAGACCATTGTTAACATGATTCCACATGGAAATTTACGTTCTACGGAGCGAGGACCTGTCCAGAGTAGGTGATAACTAAAAATGTCAAACCGGGCTCGTTCTATTCTGGAATCAAAATTATGACATGACCTCGCGCGTTTTGGGGGCATCTGCATGTCGCCCTCGAAATCGATAACAAGTTATATATAAACACAAACTAGAATCTTTGCTCTTTCATGCACACTAGATTTCCTGTTGGATCAGAATCTACAACAAGTTAGAAATGAGAAGCGGAATTCCACGAAAATTACCTGCTTTCGGGTCAAATTCTTGAAAGGATCACGGTATGCCATTGCTTCAAAAATGTATAGGAGTAACAAATGAAGCTTACACATTATCAATAAGTTAAAGTTAGGAAGATAAATGCTTGCAGACCTCAGCTACAAGCTTTCAGGTAAGGCGTGTCGGCCCCCGAAATCATGGAACGGACTACTTTCTTTCGCGGAAGGAAAATAAAACTGCCTCGAACTCTCGACGTGGCGTGGCGGCTGAATGGTTCAAATTCCACTGCCCCATATCTCATTAGAATTCTTGTGAGAAGCACAAAAACATCAATTTACAAGGGGTATAACTAATTTTAGGGATAGGGTTTGGCAAAATCTTTATTGAGCTGCCCTTGTACCATCTATTCCTCAGACTCTATTTGTCTCCTTACACAGCACAGTTACAGTAATGACATTTGAACACTCAGACCAGATTACCTGGTGCAATGATGCATTTCAAACACCATGAATGTTACTACATGAATAATTGAAGCTTCAGGACAATATCATATTGCAAGTTTTGTAATATTTGATGCAGGCTTCAAACCTGTTTGCCATTATAATAATCTAAAGTTACTACATTTTTTGGGGGAAACTATGTAACTCCTAGAAACTTTAGCAGTAACCAAAAGATATAAACATAGATTTATTTCTTTTTAGTTGTTGATGAATGTTTGTGTCAACAAGACTGTCCTAAAGCCTGTGTAGTCACAGTTGAGAGCCTCCTTAGTCTGACATCGGCCGCTTTGATCTGTCTAGGGTTGGTCACATACCTCCCCTTTGTCCAGCTGCACGTCACTGTGACAGCGCTGCTTGTTGTTTGCCTGTTGGTGTGGTAACTAACAAAGTTAACAAGCTGCCTTTGTGTGCTCTGTCAACCGCCTCGGTGCAAATTGCAACCACCTGTTTATTTTGTTGGAGGATGTGACGTCTTGCCCGGCAGTTAAGCATGTATTTTGAAGGGTTATACTGCAGAAAATTGAGTGTCATAAAACTCTGGAATGTCAGTACTGATATGCAGTATATCATCAAGTGTGTATACAGTACTAACTATTAAGGAGGTCAGCTTTACAAGTCAAAAGCTTCAAACTTGCTAATGTACCATATACTATTTCCAGCTGAATGCTTTCTTAGCCTTAGGCTTAGTGTTAGGTGGAATATTGTATGACCATGTGACCCATTTTATCGATTGTAAGTAGAATGCAATTCAGTGTCAGTCATACTGGTGAGATTTCAATAAGTACAATGGGTTAGGACAGGTGGATGATAGTCAATAAACCATGATTGTCTGAAAAAAGCTTCCACCATTTTTTTTTACAACATACGCAAACAGGAAGCTATCCCAAGTGAAATATAAGCACTGCATATTCTGGTGTTAAATGTTAGATGCGTTTTGTTAAGTTCCATTTGAAATCAGGACAGATATTTTTAGTGCATGTGGTTACATTGAAATTCCTTCAAACTTGGCCACCAGAGGTTTCTGTCGACGCTGTCCTGAAATTTTTATTTGGTCATTTCTGATATCAAAATGTGACTTACTAGGACTGTTCAATTTACTTGAAGTAGGTAAGGAACATGGAGATGGGTATTGGCCTGTACTTAATAGAACTCAAATTGTAACCAGGTCTTTTATGTTGTTTCTGAATAATGGTCCCAGTTTTTTTACTAGCTTGCCATAGATGTCTGTAGAGATTTGCAATTTAGATCAAATCCATCAAAGCTCTTCTTGGTCCCAATACTCACTTTCTACATGTAAATTGCCTTCAATAACCAGCAAGGCCATGGTGCTTTCTTTTTTCACTTTTTGAACTGGAGGTACTGTGAATCATGGAACTTTCGTAATGGCTTTATTTTTGCAGTAACCTTTCCATCACAACTTTATGACACCACAAGTATGCCTTCCTTGTATGACTTACTGTACTACCGAATAGTCTCAACTGTGAGTTTAAAACACAGTGAAAACCTCAATTTCCCTCCATGAAATAAAACTCCAGCAAATAAAAGTGTCACAATTTAAGTATAATAGGGCAGGGCTCAAGGTGTATTTTGTGAATATTATGCATAAAACATAATTGGTGGCTTTGAGTTCTATATGATACAAATCATATACAACCTTCAATTTTATCACATATCATTACATTTTATTCTTAAAGTGCAGTCAAATTGTCTGACTGTGCACATATCACATTGATCATGATAACCTTTGAAATCAAACAGTGGTATTGTTTACATGACCTGGCAATGATATTTAGATAAAAGGGCAGCTTGAATCAAGACTGCCAAATTCAGTGCAATTCTCTCTGTATCGTTTGTTGAGATTGCCATTTTGTATTGAAATATATGTTTTTAGTCAATTTTGAATGGTCTGGGTATTTCATTTCTAGGTAATATGGAGAGTAGAATGTCCATATTGTGCTTGCTTGCATGTGTTATATTTAGAGGTCCTTCTGTGTTTCAGCTGTATTGGTGCATCTGAAGCTCCCACACCATGTGCAATAGGAAACTATCTGAGCAGTACTGGAGCAATTGCTCCTGATGAATGTCTGGTGAGTAGTATTCTCTTTTGTTCCACTGTTATGTAACTGCTATTAACTATTGAAAATAGTGACATCAGGATGGTGGTTCTAATTATCAGAGCAGAGTAAAATTGCATTGCATTGTTGAATGCAAGGCAAGGCAAAAATGTCTGAATGCCATTGATGAAATTGGTCTCAATTGAAGTCAGGTACACTGAACATCATCAAGAGAAGTTTTTGTGAATTTCTTCCTGTATTTATATTGTGAGTTTTTCTGTTCACAGCACCTGGCCAACTGACACGCTGACACAAACTGAGAACAATACCTCTGTATATGGAGGTAAAAAAAAAACACACAATGCAGTGACATAATGAACTGCATATACCATTATTATGTTTCTGACCCAAGGTGTTTGTCATTTATTACTTGTTATAGGATTGTCCAGCTGGCCACATTAGCAGTGAGGGGTCTGTGTCTTGCACCCCCTGTCCTGCTGGCTATAGCTGTGACAACAGCTCTGTGGTGACCACTGCCTGCGGGACTGGGACATACTCCCTGTCTGGAGAGATGACCTGCAACACCTGTCCCGTGGGAAGGATATGTGCTGACCCTGCACAGTCTCCTCAGGTAAAGCAGAAACGAGCTTGGCTTCTGATCCCACTTCTGACACCATTTTGTATCACTTTGTCTCTTTGCACTCAGTAGTGACACAAACTCAGATGGAAAGATCAGTTTTCTCCAGTTCAATCCAGGAGGGTTAGCAGGAAGTGGTGGGTCAGGATACAAAGAGATGGTTCTAAATTTACTGTTAGCTATTGCTGGATCCAGATGCAGACCTGCATAGAATTAATGGAACAGAAACACAGGTCTGAATGATATCTAACTGAAAGCTACCGGTACCCTGAAGTTGGATTGCCAGCCCCAATCTGAGTGTTACCCAGTAGTTTTAGTGGAAAATCAACCAATATTGTATGAATCCTATAGCCACAGCCCAAATGCAAAACAAACATATGAAAATCCATATATTTAACGGACATGCAACCTCATTGGTCGAACTGCTAATTGTGATGTACAGTCAGGATCAGTCTATAATTTTTTTGCACAGGACTGTGGAGGAGGCCAGATGCCTGATGTCAGTCAGACGTCGTGTGTAGACTGTCCTGTTGGGCAATATTCCTACAACACCAGCATGGAGTGTCAAATATGCCCTAAAGGTGAGCACTAGCTAACAAACTAAAGAGGTCTCAACTAGCGAACCTGAAATAAAAGCATTTCATTTAAAAGCTGGGACTTTGCTATATCGTAAGTCTATTGGTCAAAGGATTGAGAAGACTTTGAATGTTTTTTTATTCTTTAGGTCACTACTGCCCAACAAATGGCACAACTGAACCCAAGGCATGTCCGGATGGGTACTATGCCAACATCACCGGCAGTACGCTGTGCAGTGAGTGTCCTGCAGGCTATTCGTGTGCGGACCCGTCAGCATCCCCCCAGCAGTGTTTGGCCGGCACCTTTAGTCCAGCTGGGGCTGCCGCTTGTGAGATCTGTTCAGAAGGAACCTACACAGACAATGTGGCATCAACACTCTGTGCTGCTTGCCCCGCAGGCCACTACTGTTCAGATAGGTCCCAGGCCCAGAAGTGTCCAGCAGGGACGTACAGTATAGGGGGCACGGGTAGCTGTAATAGTACATCATGCATCACCTGTCCTGATGGGGAATACTCGGATACAGAAGGGTCCTCTCACTGCACAGAGTGCTCAGCAGGATACGAGTGTTCCAATAAGACTCAACCAGTGCCATGTCCCAGGGGAAAATACAGCAGCGCCAGTGCCATCATGTGTCTTGACTGTGCGGAGGGGCAGTATGCAAACAGCACCAACTCTTCTCAGTGTGAGCCCTGCCCTGTGGGGTACGAGTGTTCTGACAAGACCCAGCCCATGGAGTGTCTGGACGGAACCTACAGTAGCGGCGGCACGTCGTCCTGTACATCATGTCCTGATGGACAGTTTAACAGCATTCCTGCGTCCAGCCAATGTGAGGATTGTCCCGCAGGATATCACTGTGGAGACAAGACACAGCCTCTAGCATGCCCCATGGGATCTTACAGGTGAGGGAATGGTGGAAACATTTTCCCTTTGTGCTTATGAAAGGTTCCAGATTGATATTTGTTTCAACGTGAAATGAAAAGAAATCATTACCATCAAACTGATGTCTGAACGAAAAACTAAACTTGCTGACCTACTGTAAGTCTTAAAACTCAGGCAGTGGTTTTGTTTTGTTCAATTTTTGCAGTGACCTCTTCAATGCAGATGACACCTAAAATGTGTTTCTATTGTATTACTTGTGTAGGTGAAACCAAATTCACCTTCCAACTTGACCTTAAGGTCAACCTGCAGTAACCAAATGTCATATGTCTTCTCCTGTCCAACAGTAACAATGGCTCCATATCCTGCACCGCCTGCCCTGATGGACAGTATGCCAACAGCACAGGGTCCACACAGTGTGCCAACTGCCCTGAAGGGTACCAGTGTTCCAACAGAACCCTCTCCCCCCAGCCATGTCCCCTGGGGAAGTACAGCTCTGCACTGTCAACATCATGTACCGACTGTCCTGACGGCAAGTACGCCAATGACACCGGCACGGCACAGTGCCAGAATTGTTCTGCAGGGCACCAGTGCTCGGACAAGACAGCCTCTCCACAACCATGTCCGCAGGGCAAGTTCAGCACTGCCCTGTCCACCACTTGTACGGACTGTGCTGCGGGTTATTATGCCAACCAGACGGGTCTGTCTGCATGTGAGGAGTGCGAGGCAGGGTACAGATGTGCAGACCCTGCAGTAGACCCACTCCTCTGTGATGATGGGTACTACAGGTATGTGACATCCAGTTCTATGCTTTGTACCTAATAGTATGATTTCATGGCTGACAAGATGTGATTTATACAATGTAATGAAGCAAGCAACTGGATAATTCTGAAAGACATTTCAGATAGCATCCTCTGTCTTACATTAGTGACTGAGAATTTGCCATCTGAAACATCTAACTCTATAGAAAATTTATCCAATGTTATGTAGTGTTAGTCTTGTACAGATTTAGAAGCAGTACATAGAACAAGACTTTTTTAGTGGTTCACATAAAAATTCACCACTGATAAATGTCATTTCCAGCTTGGGAGGTGCGACATCCTGCCTACTCTGCCCTGCTGGCCACGCCTGCCCCAACAAAGACCAGAGTCCTTCTCAGTGTGTTGCGGGAACCTACGCTGGCAGTGGCTCCACCCAGTGTACCCCCTGTGAACCAGGGTATCAGTGTCCCATCGCAGGCCTGGAGGTCGCAGAACCCTGTCCAGATGGACACTATGCAAATGAGACGAGATCTACAAATTGCACGCTTTGTCCAGAAGGTATTTTTGGAGTGACAAATTGTGTCTTTCATGTGCTGTGTCATATTGTAGTTTCTAAATTGTTGTCTTATGATAATGATTCAGTTTTTATGAGTAATAGTTTGGAAAGATAAGTGAATCAAGAAAGACTGGCATTACTGTTCACTGAACAACGTAGAATAAATGGTGTTATTGACCCCCTATCACGTGCCTGTTGAACTGCAATACTCTACTTGTTTATTAATAAAATTATTACTTAGTATATTGATAGGATTCCCTGAAATACCTCCCTGGTACAATGAACCTGTAAATACTTTTGGTAGCATCTGTCTTCTCTGTCATGGCCATAGCTCTTCAGTGAGCTAAATTGGTTGGACATCACTTCCACTACACGTTATTTGCTGAGTGTCCCCCGGTGTTCCCTGTAGGGTCCAGATGTACCCAGAAGTGGCTGATGCCTGAGGAGTGTGAGCGGGGCACGTACAGCCGCTCCGGCTGGCAGTCCTGTATCGACTGTGAGGAGGGCAAGTACGCCAACGTGTCAGGGGCGGCGCGGTGTGAGTCCTGCCCCGCCGGATACCAGTGTGACGACCCCAGGCTCGCTCCCGTCATCTGTCCTCTGGGACAGTACAGGTGGGTTGGAATGATATGCCTCGTCTTTTTTCACAGCAGACTATATACTCATTAGATATGCTGCCCAGCTAAGGAAAGTTAACTTGTCTGTCTTATCTGTGTGTGTGTGTGTGTGTGTGTGTGTGTGTGTGTGTGTGTGTGTGTGTGTGTTTGTGTGAGTCAGTGTAATACAGCAGCTTCACAGTTATTGGCCCCCTATCACATACCAGTTAAACTGCAATGCTCTAGTTGTCTACTATGATCATACTCTTCCGATTTTGAAGTGTTTACTCAAAGTATTGTCAGCAGGGTTCCAGTATGTAATGTGCATTTGGACTCGATGACTGCCTTGATGTTAGTGTAATTTGTAGCAGCATAATTCAGATACAAGAAGTCTAATAAGTGGTATTTTACATGTCATACTAATAAAACCTGTCATTGATTTGCAGTAGAAAGGCCCACAATCTAACTCTACCACCATTACAGTATTATCTGTTTCACTGCAGTAACATTGAATCGTTATGTCATAATGATGTTTAAGCAGGCTGTGACAGAACTACCAGGGTAACCACCAACAAGGATCCAACACAGTCTTTTCCGTAAAAAGACAACTGAATTTTGTAGGACCAGTTTGGGATTGGCTGACAGGGTAGACTGTGTCTAACTGGCCTCTTACTGTACAGTAGTAATAATAATGAAGACTTCTCACCATTTTTTTTGACTGGTGGCATCACGGATGGCAGAATTGTTATGATTATCGCTTGTTCCACTGGCTAGCTGAAGTGCTTGTTCTTGATTCCATCTCTTAGACTAGAGTAACTTACCACAGGAATTGTCACCACATACTTTGTAGGTGTTAAAATCTCTCCCTATCTAAATGCCTTTGTTTCTTTGTTTACATTTCCTAATGGCATGTTTTGTCATTGTGGGCAGCTGTTACAATGGTTGCATTGACAGGTATTAAAAAACCGTGTCAAATTTAGATTGCACAGTTTGTTAAGATCTTCACATTTCAGGTACATGGTATTAACTTTGTTTCTATCTGCATCTTAAAGTGAACATGTGGGTACAATTTTTGTAAAGGGCTCTCACAACTTGTTGGAATTGTTTTGACAAGGAAAAAATGTTAATGGTTGTTTGGGCTGCATGTCCAAACATTGATTAAGAAAGTTGGCTTCTCTTCTAAACTGACCTCATATGTTACATATTCATGAGTACTCAGACTACTGTACATTGTACAACTTTCACAGTGGTTTAATTTATTTTCATGGTTTTCATGGTGATGTGTCTACCTTGAATCTATGAAAAATATGTTGTTTTCCTTGTATGCCTACCACAGAATTGCACGGTGAATTTAGAAGACAATAATACCTCCTCTATGTTTTACTGCAAAATATAACCGGTGACTGTGAAATCTTAACTATTAACAGACAGACCTTTGGCCACTTCAAACCAGAAACTTGTTGGGAAATACCATGATCATTAAGAACCTTAGGAGAATAGTTCTATCGTCTATTCTTAGCTTGCAAAACAAGAAGATTGTCATGTTTAATAAGACAATGTTGAAACTTTGTAAGACAATTTCAATAGTGAAGAGAGAAAATGAATATCAGAATATAATAAATATTGTAATGTTGAATTCTTAGCCAGATTCCTGCCTACTTTTGTTAAGTCAACATAGATGAACTGCGACCTGAGTCATAGCTTGGCTCAGTCAGTGACGTTTTGCTCAGGGCCTGGTCACATTCATCATACAATCATAGACTGAGGCAATTCTTGGGGACTTGTCCTACAGCATTCATCTGTTTTGTTACAGGAAGGCTGTCTTACATCCTTGTCAGCAGTTGGTTCTTTCACAGCCAGTTTGAAAAGCCTATCATATGATGACTTAAATGATGAAAGTTGAGATAAGATGCTCCTTGTAATCTGGATATGTTTAACTTCTCTCCTGTTGTTCAGCGCGGAGGCCTCCACAGTGTGTCAGTCCTGTCCCCCTGGCTTCTATAACAACGGCTCGTTTGCTGACATGTGTCAGCCCTGCCCAGCTGGATACCAGTGCCCCAGTCCTTCACAGGGTAAGGAACTTACTCTGACTCTTATGGTGATAATTGTTTGGGTGTGTTCGTCTGTGTGTGGGTTTGCTCGTGTGTTTGAATGCAGCAGAGAAGACAATGCAATGGTGTTAATGTTGTTATATTCTGTACAATCATATATCACCAGCCTGTATGGCTGCCATTAACATGGCACAGTGGCTCCTTATGTTACATGGAACAGCCTGTTACACCTGTTACACCTAACTCCTGAACATCTATTTCTTAGTCTAGGAGTTGTTTAAATCTAGTGAGGATGTCCCTCCTATAATTGTTGACTTAACTTCGCATGTATAAAATTCTGACCCTTTCCTCCCAGACCCTGTACAGTGCACTGCTGGTTACTTCTCCCTGGGGAATGCCACCTACTGTAGCCTGTGCTACGGTGGATACGCGTGTGCAGACAGAGTCAGTGAACCAGTCATCTGTACTGCTGGTCATTATGCCCGTAACGGGAGCGAGTCATGCACACCGTGTGATGAGGGGTACTACTGTCCTGATGAGGGCATGACAGAACCCACCAGGTCAGGCTCTTTTTTAATGTTTATTTGTTTCTTTGAATTTACCACAAGTACAAATATACAAGTGGAAGGAAGGACAAAACAGGTGTATGGACACCTTTACAAGTTGCCCTCCCAAATTGTTACCACTCACCATGTCTGTGACAGTTTGTTTGTGATAGAAAAGAAGCTACATTGTTAGTATTTTCCAGTGTTGCTACCATGAAGAATTCAGAACTTTGTAAATACTTTGTAAATGGCTTTCCAACTTCTGCATCAGTTTTATTACTCGATATACTTGTCATCCTAGGAACCCTAACTGGGACTTTAGATTTAAAGAAATGTTAAAACTTTTGTCCCCAGGTGCCCAGATGGCCACTATGCAGATTCTCCAGGCTCCTCTGCCTGTACTGAGTGTGAGGCTGGTAAAAGGTGTCCTGATCCCACAGTGACGTCTGAGACATGTCCTGATGGCTTCTACTCTCCAGGCGGAACCACCAACTGTACCGAGTGCCCTGTAGGACACCAGTAAGTTTACACAAGTTGTCAACAGATAAATGACACATTATTAATTAACATCCCCAAAGATATTAAAATTGGCGTGTAGTCTGTAAGCCAGGTGCCTAGACATAGAGTAATTCACAATAATGAATAAGATATTAGAAATTCACAAAAACCCAAAAATATTTTGCAGAGGTATGAACTATCTGATTTGTTATTGTTGGTATTGAAGATATCTGTTGTGTCCATCCAGATGTGGTAACAAGACCGCTGCTGTGACGTGTGCAGCTGGAGAATTTGCCCCGGCCCAGAGCCTGTCTTGTACCCCCTGTCCTCCTGGTACCTACTGTCCCAACACCCCCCAGACTGCCCCGGTGGACTGTCCAAGCGGCTGGTATCAGCACCAGGAGGGTAAGACAGCGTGTCAGCAGTGTGAGAAGGGTCACGAGTGTCCTGTCATCACCCAGGAACAGCAGCAGTGTCCAGCGGGTTACTACGCAGACAAGAGAGGCCTACAGTCATGTCTAGCAGTAAGGCATTCTCTTATCATTACATCAGGGTACAGGGGCGTTGTTTCGGGTGTGTTTCTGTATTTCCTGATGTTCATTCGAATGCAGTAGAATGGAGGGAGCGGTATTTGGTTACTGCACATTGACCTGAAGGTCAAGTTGTAAGGAAGCGATGGCTGGAAGGAACTGTCATGGTTCCACCCATGCAAGTCAATCACTTAGGACTTGTTCACAAGAAGGTTTCTGTCCTGGGCCCATTGAAAGCACATCAGACCATATCTTTGGTTGTGGCAATGATTTCACAAAAACAACTTCCCAGAGGTTTGAAATTTCTTGTTAACATATAGGATTGATTTTGTCTTCAGCAAATGTGTACATGTTAGTTTGAAACTTGCAGCACAGTGTAGTACTAGGTCTTCTAACGTTGATGTCTGATCCTGACTGTGGTATGTTTTCTACAGTGCCCAACTGGTTACTACACCACAACAAATGGCACTGTCACATGTACCAGGTGCCCCTCTGGGTCCAGGTGTCCAGAAAAGGATGGGAACCCAATCACCTGTGACACTGGACAGGTGAGATAGCTTCCTTTGTTACCTCTGGGTATGGAGGCATTGTTTTTGGTATGTTTGTCTGTGTAGATTTGTTTGCCTTTGTTTGTCTATGTTTTGTTTAACAGAATGTGTGTGGGGAAATTCCTTAACCACTGACCACAAAAGGTCAGACACAGACCCTGCATGTTTTTATTGCTATTACTGCATGATTTTGTTCCTTTTTTATGTGCAAATTAATCAACATAAGCAATTTACTACTACTACTAGATTTATAGAAACTACTGATCTTCACCGCAGAGCCTATGGTCTTGTCTTTGTATTGCCTAAGCGAGCTAGGATCTTGAAAAACTTGCTCAATTACTGAGACCTTATTGTAATCTTCCTGCTTCAGTATTCGCCAGCTGGTTCAGACACCTGTTACAGCTGTCCGTCAGGAACGTCCTGTGGGGATCCCAGTGCTGAACCAACTCTCTGTGGGGTCAGTGACCTTACGTTCTCTCTCTTACAAATATAAACTTTATTACACAACAATTAAACCGGTTACAACATATGGCATCTACCCGGTACCTTAAGCCAAGTATAGTGTATGGGATGAGAATGTGATTTTACAATTATAATATTATCATTGGTTGGTGGAGTTTCTAGCAAGTACTGAATATAGGTTGTTTTAAAAATATTGTCCTATTGTCACAGGTTGTCACATGTAAATGTGCATTACGCTCAAAGTATACAATAGCTAGGTTGTATATTGATTGAAACATTATATTGAATTTCATGTCTGTTCTGTAGACTGGCGAGTACTCCAATGGAACAGCCTGTCTGTCTTGTCCAGCGGGCTCCAAGTGCCCGTCTCCTCTGTCAGGCCCCCAGGCCTGCCCATCAGGCACCTACCAGGACTCCCCAGGACAGACCACCTGTCTGACATGCCCGGTGGGGATGGCCTGTCTGGATGTGGCTGCTGCACCTGTGGACTGTGCGGCTGGGTACTACAGTATAGCTGGTGTGGAGACATGTCAGGTAACACATGCTGCATTTTGTGGGAATTTCAAGACTTGTTTCAATGTAAATGAACATTTTTTAAAGGGAAAAAAAAGATGTTTTGAAACTGTACAGTACTTACTGTCACAGTGATAAAACCACAGACTGCAGACATTTCAGAACTTACAGTTACTGTATCAAGGTCAAAGGGCTACAGTTTAACATATCCACTCTCCTATTTCCAGGCATGTCCTGAAGGCACCTACAGCTCTGCTGGCCAAGGTTTCTGTCTGCAGTGTCCGGCTGGACAGAAATGTGTGAACGCCTCCAACCCCGAGGACTGTCCAGCCGGCCAGTACAGCAATGCTGGAGAGTACACCTGCACAGCCTGTCCTACAGGTAAGACTTGTGACATGCATGGGAACCTCTAAGTGTTTTTTACCTCTATGTATGGAGGTATTGTGATAGATGTGTTTGTGTGTGTTTTTGTTTGCTTGTAAGTTTGTACAAGTGAGTGACAATAGGTGGGTGAAGGAAATTCCCTAACCAGAGTACACAAAAGGTCAAACATGGTATGTCAACTCCCAGAAACTGGCTTGGAGCCAGCAGAAAGTTGGACAGGAGTCTGTTGGCTGGGTGCCAGTGGGGAAATGCATGTACTGGAGTTAAAAATAATGAATATATGATATTCACAAAAACTGACGGAAATCTGTGATTTCTTGTTGTCTCATAAATACGTCAGGTAAAGTGTTCATCCAACCTTATATGTATGTTCTCTTCCCATCCTGTCCAGGCACCTACAGTTCAGCTGGTGCCCAGCTGTGTACCGTGTGCCCAGCTGGCAGCACCTGTGTGAATGCCAGCACGTCCCCTCAGCCCTGTGAGGCAGGCACCTACAGCGCTCCAGGTGCAGTGGTCTGCACCGACTGTCCAGCAGGGTTTTACTGTCTCCAGGCTGACCAGCCGCCACAGCACTGCCCAGGTCACACCGCTTTTCTCTTCGTTTTCATTCCATGTATCAAAATTAACTTCAAGATTTCTTTGCTTTGAAGAGATAGTTATTCAGTGCAACAGTTAACAGTTGATAAGAAGTGCAAAAGTTTTTGCCAAGATATTTAAACTGCAAAATATCTGACATATTTTCTCCATATGTCAGTGATGTTCTATAAGACAAACCTACCCGTCCTTGGTGCTGAACACTATCCACACACGAGAAATATACCTGTACTTGGTTCTGAACACAATACACACACAGGACAAACATACCTGTCCTTGGTGCTGAACACTATTCATATACTAGACAAACATGTCTGTCCTTGGTGCTGAACACTATCCACACAAGAGAAATACACCTGTACTTGGTTCTGAACACCATCCACATACACGCAAACATACCTGTCCTTGGTGCTGAACACCATCCACACACAGGCAAACATACCTGTCCTTGGTGCTGAACACTATTCATATACTAGACAAATATGTCTGTCCTTTTTGCTGAACACCATCCACACACAGGCAAACATACCTGTTGTTTGTGCTGAACACAATCCACATACAGGACAAACATGCCTGTCCTTGGTGCTGAACACCATCCACACAAAGGACAAACATACTGTACTTGGTGTTGAACACTATCCACACAGGACATCCGTACATGTCCTTGGTGCTGAACACTCTCCACACACAGGACAAAAATACCTATCCTTGGTGCTGAACACTGTCTACACATAGGATAAACATGCCTCTCCTTGGTGCTGAATACTATCTATACACATAGGACAAACATGCCTGAACAATTATTATATCCTGTCCAGATCCTGAAAGGATGCTAAGACTGTTTGTGTGACATGTTTGTACAGGTGGTACATACTCTCATGCACGCAACTCCAGCTGTGCCCCCTGCCCAGCCGGCTTGTCATGCCTCAACCCTGCCCAAACACCGCTGTCCTGCGATCATGGAGAGTACAGCACTCTGGTCAGTAGACTTTACAATAGAACTTTGTCACCATGCAAACAATGTAGACTACATTCCCTCAGTAGCTATGAATATCCATTACACTTTAACACCTATCAAATTGTCATTTTTTTTTAACATGATCAAGTGTATAGATTTTCATAGGCTGACAGGTCTGTCTTGTTGCCTAGTATTTATTTATCGGCCCCTAAATATATTGGCCACTCAAACCAGTCAAGGGACATTTTTTTTAGAGAAATCAACAGTCCAACTCTAAGATAATGGGTTTGTGAAGGTATTGACTAGTGGAGATTCAGTAAATCTTTTGTCTCCTTGGAAGATGACTTTGAAGTAAATTTTAATATCCTACATGCCTGTGTGTTTTGCTTTAGTATAGTGTAGTTACTGTGATATCACAGTGGTCGCTTTAGCCAGAATTATAAAGAGAGTGCTGTTGTCTACAGGGTGACGCCCTGTGCCACCCCTGTCCTGGAGGTTACAGCTGCCCAGCACCAGATGTCCCCATTCAGGAGTGTCCGAGTGGGGAGTACAGCCTGGCCGGAGAGGCCAACTGTACGGAGTGTCCTGCAGGGTCGGCCTGCCCCTCCACCTCCCAGCAGCCTCTGGCCTGCCAGGCTGGACAGACCACCGATGGGCTGACAGGACAGACAAGTTGTACAGACTGCCCCGCAGGCCAGGCCTGCCCGGATCCAAGGTCTGCTGATTTATTTAGATTTATAGAGAGTAGGGTGGCATGTCTGAGTATTGTACTCCTGTGGCAAAAGATGACCATCTCTGGTCTTAAGAATAAAGATAAAATCATAACTATGGAGGGCATCACAATCTTTTTCAGAATCTACAATTAGTACAAAAATAACCTTGAAATTTGAATGTATGTACTATCTGTAACTTAGTCTAATATGTAATATGATACAACTTTTTAAAGAGTGTATGATAAAATCAATTGATGACAACAATTGTAGTAATGTTACATGTATGGTGCTGATGATGATGTCACTGAAAGTGCTTATAGATGCAGTCGGACTACTTTTGCCATATTAAGTACTTCTGCATGTGTTAACTGTGTACTGCATTACTTTGGAATATTGCAGAATTTTAGAATGTTTCCAGTGTACCACACACATGTTAACACATGCACCTCCCCATGCCTGCAGGTTGAGCCCTGTGACCTGCACCAGCGGCACCTATGCCCTGGGTGGGGCCTCCAACTGTACAGACTGCCCTGCTGGGTTCTCCTGTGCAGATGCAAGCGTAAGTTTTAACTCCTTTAGTCAGGTGTTCTAATCAATGTGCTATGAAACTATTTGTTGCTGAATTTTATTGTTTACTGTAAAGTGAGACAGTCAAAGTCAGGCTTGGTGGTTGGTAACAGTTATAACAATCTGTACACTATGAAGTTAGTGATGTAAGATATACTTAATGATTGAGTGTAAGACATTTCCTGTTCAACATAATGATTGCAATTGGATGTACCAATGATTGACTTGCCAATATGCTGTTACATATATTATGTG